AGTTATTAAGTGTTGATTGGGCATTAATGATTGTGGTGATACGCCACACCTGTTGCGAGATTAGGGGGGCGTACCCCTTTTAATTACTTTTAAAGCATATAAAAAGGCTTTGCTTGGAGCTTCAAACCATACGTCTGGGGGAACCTCAAGGGACGTTGTTCCAGCGTATCGTTTGGTCTGAAGACTGGTAGGAGTTGCTACCGGTGTGCATTATTGTTAATGGTTGAGCTGCGTTTGTTGAGGCTCTCTGTATTACCAGTGTGGACCAGGAGACTGGAGAAATTGTGCATGTAACCAAGGGAGTGAGTAATTGCGTAAAGCTTGTAGTATCCGTAAAGGTATGTTCCCTCTCTGTTTAGCATAGTGCAAGTATAATGTAAGCCCTAAAACCAACCTTTATTGTTTCTTTAACAGCATTGCAGCTTTGCTGAGAGCACCTCCAGTGTACAGCAGGTTATTTTGACTGTTTATATTTGGGCACGGGCGATCCTTCTGTCGCGCTGTGTTTACGTGGTGGAGGGACGCTTTGGGTGGAGCGGATGCCTTCATCTCTTAAGACGGGATGCCATTGTGCACATGCTGACACATAACTGTTCGCAAGTGAGGGTTTATTTGATGCCTCGACCAGCGCATTTGCTTAACTCTACCTGCTTAATGGATACTCTTGGAGGAGATATGGTGCCGATTTACCGCCGGACGATTTGTTTATTTTACAACACGTCCATCAGCTACATGATCGGGGGCGGGAAGTGAGTGGCTCTTTAGTTGAAGCTTTGGGGCAGTGTTCTGGCTTCATGTCATTTCTTGTAAAATTTGTCTGGTTGTGTTCTATATTTTCTTTGGTGTATATTCTTTTGTGACTCTGTTTTGATCCTGTCTAATGAGATCCAGCTGACATTATGGTTCAGTGTATGTAAAGGTATACCTTTAATGCTGCTTCCCACGCTCGTACTGTAGGGGGAGCGAGTGAGGGGGTGGGAAAGTATTTATTTACATGTAAACTGCTCTCTTGTTTCTATGATATTGTGGGAGTTAATTGTTTTGTTTTGTTTTGTTTAAATAGAACTGACTGCTATCAATCTAACTGTTGCAAGGACACTTTTACTGAGTGAATGGTGCCTTTTTAATTGTATGTGTATTCTCAAGTTTTGGTATTGATGCCTTGTTCCTCCTCTCTCCAGAGCGGAGTCCCATACAACTTTCTGTCTCCATTACTCATATGATGGTGGTGGGTTTGCTGAATTGGAGTCGTCCACATTGGGTGATTTTAATGTAGTGCTGTGATTTTTGTAGTGTAATTCTCACGGGTGTTGCAGTGCTCTGAATAGGTAGCAGCGGGGACTCTGGCTCTGGAGAGGTGGAGGACCGGCAGCCTATGAGTCTAAGGGAACCTACAGAAACTGAGTATTGAACTGTTTTAATTATGTCTATTTTATGGTGTTGCAAAAATAAACATTGTTACATTGCACGGATTCTGAGTCTTGACCTTTCTGTCTCAGCGAACCTGAGTAGCCTTTGGCTAACATTTTGGGTCTCTGGTCCCTTTTATACCAGGGTGGCGTAGTCGGTTTATTCTTTTATATTTATAAAGTTGTGTATTTGCAATAGCAACTCAAAACGGGCCCCAGCGCACACATGATGAACACCTGCTGTTAGCAAGCAGAATTACTGAAGAGAAGCACAACAACTGACCTCTGATCCTTTGCTGAAATGTTGAGAATGTGTTGAATGTGTTTCATTTCTTTTAGGGCTGTGACTGAAGTCAGCTGTAGTTTTGTGTTTCTCTTCTGTAAAGCTGCAGTCACACTAGAGTTTGAGCTTGTAAAAAATCTGTCGTACGTCGCTGCGAAAAGGGGTGGGATTAAACAAGATGATTAGACATTAAAAAAAGTGAGCGATTGGTCCATGTTTTAAACTTCTGCCCAGAGAGATCATATTTTGATCCTCGATTTGTCTCACGCTATCATATGATGCGTTTCACTAAGCTTGAACTTTTCAATGCAGCGATCTGCGAAACTAAGCATGAACTTGCATTTTCGGTCTGACGCATTCACATATGAATAAATGGAACTCTATGGGGAGAAAAGTCCTCTGTGACCACAGCTTAAATCTGCTTGCTAACAGCATGTGTTCATCATTAATGCTCAATCAACACTCACTTATTAATTCATTACCTTTAGCACTGAGTTCAAAACTCTTCAAATTACTAGAATTAACTTTTACACACACACACACATACACAGATAATACAGACAAACTTTACAATTGTCTAAACTGCAATTAACATGAACTAAAAACAAGCAATAATTGTACATTTATTAATCTGTTCAACAAATTAAGGGGATCAGACACATAATTTTTTATTATATTAAACAGATAACTCAAAATGTTTCCCCCACCAATCAAGTAAACTAATGGTCAATCTCAACACTCAAGTGTAATGGAGGCCAGCTAGTGAAGTGCTGTGGGGGTAAACCTCACTCGTTAGAGGTCATGGTTTTTATTCTCCTTGTTAGAGCAACTGACTCCCATGCAAAGAATCAGCAGTTAAATCCCAGCTTGGAATGGGTTGGATGGTGTAGGACCGGCGGGTTACATTGGTGATGTGACCCGGATGGGAGTGAGGTTTAGGGGTTTCGGAGGCCAGCTAGTAAAGTGTTGTGCAGGTAAACCTCACTCCTCTGACCTCTAAAGGTGCTCTAGCGACAGAAGCTAGAGGCCATAGTCTTTAGCCTCTTTGTCAGTGCACGTGACTTCCATGCAAAGTATCGTCGGTTCAATCCCAGATCAGAGCTGATTGTGTGATGTAAGACCGATGGGTTACACAAGCATTTAGGCATTTGTGAGCTAAAGGAATGCATGCATTCACTTAGGAACAGGCAAAAACTACCCTACAAAGCCCACAGTAAAAATATGCCCTTTTTATCCATTAAGATTAATAAAAACATTCCTCTAATCTGTATGAGTAATCAAATATTGCCTTATATGTTACTTGTGTATTAAAGAGCCCCTTTTATACATTAAAAAGGGTCACATTTTGGTTTTGGGGGCCTCCATGTATGCATGTAAGGTCAAAAAACGCTTTCATTGTCTTATAATATGCAATAATTTTTACCTAACTATCCCAATGACTCCCATATGATGCATTCCTCCCTCCTTAGTGCTCATAGTGTAGGATCTGACTGTAGCAGCAGCCCGAAACATGCTTTATAGTAGTTACTAACACCACAGTACCCGGTTCTCAACAGTGTCATTCAGACACCTCAACCCCGAACCGATTTTCAGGGACAAATGTTGGCAGGTATGTGTGTGTGTGTGTGCCCAATGCAGGAGTGCATTAAAGGAATGCAGTTAAACACCAGCATTTTGATCTATTCTTAACAGTGACACACATTTAGTATTAATGCCCACAGTGGAAAAAGCTGAACTATTTTAAAACTTGATGCCCGCATGTGTGTAGGAACAGCTGATGGTGGCCATAGCAAGGACAAACGCCAGTGGATTACGAGTATATAAATGCATTTAAATCCATAAACAAAGCCGCATGCGTTGCGTTTTCAATGTGGCTTTAGACGCAATATGAGAACATAAAGAGTTAACCACAGTTACTTAATCGCACTTACTTACATTTGTGAAATGGAGGAAGAAACTGGTTCATTAACTGTGTACTGCAAAGTCCCATACATCAATAGTCTTTTCTGATCCTCCCTTTAACAAATAGCTGTAACGAATTCCTGTTGTAAGCATGTAGATTACTAAAGCACTCATCAGAAAAAATTACAGGAACACAGCACAAGGCTATGGCTCTAATGCTAAAGTATTTTTGCAAAAATAAACTTCAACCACGGACTCTTTCCAGTTTCATCTTTGGGAAGGGAAAATAACACAAATTTTCCCTCATATTTCCAATAATATCCAGCTGAACACAGCGTCTTTGTGACATGATTAAACTGGGGGTTTTAATTTTCCCGGGTTTGCACGCACAACAAATGGAGCTGAAGTTCTGTATCGATGCCACTCCGGCACAGCTAAAGACTCATTATTAAGCTGATTCATTTGAAGCACTAAAAATCCAGTCTTTTATAGATAAATCAATAGTTTTAAAAATGGGGCACTTTCAGATTTAAACCTTAGCTGGATATTTGACTTCACTTAGAGCTATATTACGCACTACATGGAAGGTCATTTTTAAAAACATAATAGGGGCTCTTTAATACATTGTTTATTTAATTTTTACAACTAATTAGGTTCTAATTTAGGTTTTTAACGAAACAAGATAGCAAGTAGACCATTGATAATTTACATAATATGTTGATACTTCTGCAACATATTAGTATTGTCAGAAACTTCAACAGTTTCTTCATCAACATTCAAACAAAATTCACACGCAAAATACCATGCTGGAAATAGGACATCCCTTAGAAACTTAACTTTCTCGTTGTTATCTCAGCTCATATGACATTATCATCCATGTAAAATCTGTAGGCCAGAGCCCCATCCTGCTCTTCCGCTGGATGTCACAGGAGAAGATGCTGAACTAACAGTCTTCTCCAACCACAACCTAAACTTGTGCCAGGCTTAGCCTTGTCTTTTCATACCTCAGAACCCTTGGAACTCTAACAAACTTCAGCAAAGATCAACAGGAGCCTCAAAAACAGCATCAGAATGGGAATAAATGGAAAGTTATTTCTTATGAGCTGGAAATTAACATTCTTTAAAGGAATAAACACTTTATCCAGGGACATCGTCAAGTAAAAGCATGTAGTAAAAATTGTTAAGTAAAATCTAAAAATTACAGCTAAATATAATTAATTGCTAATATTTCTCTTGAGCTAATACTGCATGCCCAAATGTGAAAATCTACTTACTGATTTATTGAATGACCACATGTGGGAGATTGCTCGTATGCAAAGTATAATATTTCCATAATAGGTTCTTAAAAGTTTATTTTTTCAGTAGCCTAAATATTCTACTAGATGACTAAATGCTTTTTCACTCACGTGGAAAAGGCGTTATTCTGCTTTTCACAACGAATCCCTTTGCAGTTGTTGGGCTCTTCAGATGCCTTTGTCTCATAGTAGAAATAGAGTTGGTTGAGGCCATTGGCAAAGGCCAGAAGCACCAAACAGTAGATGAAAAGGAACTTGAGAATGTCCAGCAACATGCGACCGAGAGAGATTTGCAGTGGGCCCAAGTGAGAGTTGGCAGTGAACAAAGAGATGAGACGCAGGGAGCTGAAGATGTTGGCAATAGCAAATAGAGCCTCAGCGATGAGTGTTGGGTGCCACATTTCCCACTCCACACGAGGACGAGAGCTGTTGTACTAATGGATACAAATGAAATAATTCAGTACTGTAAAAACCTTTTTTCTACAACACATTTACAGTAGTGGCTAAATGATATACAGTTAAAGTCAGAATTACAGTATTAGCCCCCCTGATTTATTAGCCCCACTGTTTTATTTTTTCCCCATTGTCTGTTTCATGGAGAGAAGATTTTTTTCAGCATATTACTGAACATAATAGTTTTAATAACTCATTTCTAATAACTGATTTATTTTATCTTTGCCATGATTAATACTCTAATAATTAAATAATTGTAATGACTCATGCAATTGAGTCATTTAAAGTGATCAAAGTAAGCTATCTATCTATCTATCTATCTATCTACCTACCAATCATCCATCCATCCATCCATCCATCCATCAATCCATCCACCTATCTATCCTGTTTTTGAACTCAATGTATACCAAAAAGACTTACCTAGAACCCAAGGTAAGATCATCCACTCAACAAATGTTGGTGGAGGTCCCTGTACATGCAGATCAGTCTGAACAATATGCTGTGAAGCGAGGAGGAGGAGGAAGAGGAAGGTCAGATAGGAGGCTGTGTGGCAGATGAACTTGATGAATGGTTTCTTAATAAAGGTTCCCAGTGTGCTCTTTGGAGCCAGAAGGTATATGATGGAGAATACAGGGAAGAGCAGACCAATGATGAAGCATGTGACAAGCTTCACTGCCCAATGACGTCGCCTCCAGCCCGGGAAACCATCATACCACAGTGTTGCCAGGAGTTGTTGGCAGTTGGGCTGAGCAACAAACTGAAATTATATAATATTTTGTATTAATAAAAGAGTAAAAATTCTTGACAAATACATATAAAGTTGCTATTGGTTACTTGGCATGTTATTTTTTTTCTGACGTACATGTACCCATTAGTGTAAAAGACATTACAGTTTTTCTCAGTTGCTTTAGTGCATTTCTCACAACACTATTTACATTTGCACAACAGTTAATGCATTTCTCAAAACAATCTGTACAAACTGCAAAACCTAGTTGATAACCTGCACAAGTGTGTCACTTGCTCAAAATGGAGAGCTCATTCCTCAAAAGCAAGTAGTGATGTCAATAAAAGTATCAGTGTCATCAAGATGAAAAGTCCTGACACCTTTAGGAACAAGATAATAAAATGGCTTTGTCATGTTTTCATTATGACAGTTTACTCTGTACATTTTTTTTCCAATGCAAAAACGTCTGATTTCAGTGACACTTCCTGAAAATGCTCAAGACAGCACTATATTTACACAGCCATTTGAAAACTACAGTAAAGTTATACATCACTGCATTTAGTAATGCATCTGAGTACAAGACACTGAATATGTACGTTTCACATTTTTACTGCATTTGCTCTTTACAATTCTAACTTATTCAAAGCATTGTGCAACATAATAAATACACCCTTATTTACAACAAACATAAATTCCCTTTGGGTAGAGCTGTGAACAACTCTAAACAATATTGCAGAACATATTGTAGGGGAACCTACAACATGCATTGGTGTGTAAATCATTTATCAAATTGTTCAAATTAGAAGACATTTTCAGCAACAAAATATGATAAAAAAAATTGTTTAATAAAATTTGCTTTACAGATTGTGACAACTAGTTCAACATTTTAGTATGTAATGACTCCAGTAATGAAATTAAGACTATTAGTTTTATATAGAATGACTATTCAGCATTCACAAGTTTAGTTAATTTTGACTGACATTACATAAGTGAATGATAATGTTATAAACAGCAGAGAGTTGTATGAAAGCAATTGATGCATGTACAAAAGCATTTGCAAATTGTTGAAAGGAATGAGAAACTGCTACTATGATGTGCACAAATGACTAATTGTTTTGAGAAAAACTGTTGTGCAAATGTAAATAGTGCTGTGAGAAATGCACCAAAGCGACTGAGAAAAACTAATTGACTCTGTGAGAAAGTATTTGTGTTCCACTACTGTAATTTGCTGTTTTGTTGTTGTTGTTGTTTTTTTTATTGATGATTTTATGATTTGATTAATTTATTTTTAAACCGAAATACCATTCATAAAAATTCGTTAACAGAAAATATATTTCAACACGGAAATGGAGCGGGATGAAGCACAAGTTTATTATTCTCCCACCCCATTGCTACACACATCATTCATCTATTACTTAGACTTATTTCTAATTTTACTTATCTCTTCTTTTTACATGAGACATATGAGCTTTACATGAGCTATATTTTATCCTTTTTGGCATCTTTGACATATTATATGTTTGATTCCATTTTTATCATTCCATTCCATTCCATTTACATTTTATAATATAGACCCCAAAAAATACATAGTACTGCAAACAGCCATTAATTGAAATTTTATCATACCTTTTTCATTTTATCCTTTTTCAATCACCTCTATTCATAATTATATTCCTTTAATATATATTTATACAACTGTTTAAATTGTTTAATATCCTGACAATGTTTGAAAATCTGTTCTAGACTGTTCCATAAATTCACACCACATACAGACATCCACAAACTAATTAAAGTTGTCCTTGTTTTCAACCTCCTAAAACTTTGTTCTTTTCTTATTATATCCTCGTCTTTCTTAAACAAAACTTTTGTGTGCACATTGGAAGAAATGTATTCCTAGCTTTAAATATAAATTGTTGTGTTTAAATTTAAACAAATCTTTGAACTAAAGTATCGTCAATTTAGAAAATAAAGGATTTGTATGCTCCAAATACTCAACATTTTCTATCAGTCTAATGACTTTTTTTGCATTGTACATAAGGATTGTAAGTTAGATTTATATGTATTCCCCCAAATTTCAGCACAATAACATTAAGTGACATTATATAATACAAATATTGATTTATTGTCCAGGATAAATCTTGCTTTATATAATGTTGCTACAATTTTTAAAAATTTTGATAATCACATTATTTATTTGCGGTTTCCAACAAATTTTATGATCCAATATAACACCAATAAACTTAATTGCATATACTCTTTCTTTTTTTTACTTCATCATCCTTTTTTAAATCTATATTATGACTACTTTTTAATTTCCCAAATAACCTTTGTTTTACTTAGATTTAATGACAGTTTGGTTACATCAAACCACAATTTCAACTGATTCATTTCTGTTTTAATCAACTCCATAAATTTTGGTAAGTTATCCCCAGAACAAAATATACTTGTATAATCTGCAAATAAAACAAACTTAAACAACTCTGATATCTTAGGCATATAATTAATGTAAATTGTAAACAATTTTGGACCTAGAACTGATCCTTGTGATGTTGCCTATTTTTTAAATAACTGCTTATTCAATGCAAGGCTACTCCTCTAATACCATACCTTTCTAATTTATTTACCAATATATTATGGTTTATTGTATAAAATGCCTTCCTGAAATAAAAAAAAATGCAACTACCTTCTTCTTTTTATCTATCTTGCTTCGAATACAAATGTCTGCTAAAAGAGTAAATGTGAATGTTTCTTGTTAAAACATGATTGGGGCATGTACAGTTGAAGTTAAAATGATTAGCCCTCCTTTGAATTTTGCAAAGTCTTATTTGCTTTATTTCGGCTTGAAAAAAAGCAGTTATTAATTGTTTTAATATAATTTAAGGAAAAAATTAATCCCCCCTTTGAGCTATATATTTTTTCGAAAGTCTACAGAACAAACTATCATTATACAATAACTTGCCTATATACCCTAACCTGCCTATAGTTAATCCAGTTAACCTAGTTAAGTCTTTAAATGTCACATTAAGCTGTATAGAAGTGTCTTGAAAAATATTTAGTCAAATATTATTTACTGTCATCATGGCAAAGATAAAGTACATGGGGGTGACTAATAATTCAGGGGGGCTAATAATTCTGATTTGAACTGTATATGTTATTTTAACATAATGTTTATTTTATCTGTTTATTGTTAACTATCAACCAAGAAAACCTAAATACACTGATTTACACACAAAAAAAATGAATTTTACTGCTTGTTCAAACTACTTATTGAAACATAATTGTTTTATGTTCAATCCGCTTAAATTTGAAAAAATGATTAACTCAAATTAAATTACACAACAGTTAATAAAAAGTTTTATATTGGATAAGTATTGTGAAACACATTAATATAATAATAATAACAATAATAATATTGAAACAGTTAAGGCATTTCAGAATGACCAAAACAGCATTTCAGATGTTTTAGAATGTGCTTGGCCGCAGGTTAGTACATTATTGCATCCCATCACACACATTTTGCACAAATGCACACATTGGAATTTATTCAGTAGAAGTGTCTCCATCGTAGTTTATGTGCATCTTTTCTTATCGAATAAAAAGTTTATCCTACTCAGTTATGTGCATATGTTTGAATGCATTTTCAAAATGTATGTGTTTCTTGCCATTTCTATCAAACATTTTTATCCAATAATCTAAAATGCGCATAAAAATAGGTGGATGGAAACATAGCTAATGTTACAGCTAATCTGAGATTTTTTTTTTTTTTTTTAGTTTAGTTTAAAAAGAAAGTTTAAACAAAGTTTCTAAGATTTCCTTTAACTGTCTGACCTACATTGCCCTGCAGTGTTATTATGAAAGCAATCAGTTCTGCTGTGAGATGCTACACAAATGACTGAAAGTACTGGAACTGTTATCTTTTCTAGCCTACAAGCATTTCACAATAATTCCATTAGCATTAGAAAGCAGCTGTTATGAAAATGTTCCAGTTAATAACATAACATTTGTTCTCTGAGATTAGGGAGTGAGTTTTGCATTTACAGTGTGTAGAGTATAAATGCATTGGGAAAACAAACACTCAAATACTGAAGCATTACTGGACACATTTGTGCAAACTGCACAAACCAATGGCATTTTAGCAGCAAGTTTTAGATAGAAGCTGTAAAATCTAGCAAAAAAATGGACTGCAATGACCACCTGCGGGCCACACTAGTCCTGAGTAAGGATTCTACGACACCATGCCCAGGAGGAGGCCATGCTCTGAGTGCAGTGGGCATTAACTCTAATAAGCTATTGCACATCCTTAGAGGTGTAAGCTAATGCAATAGCATCAACTATCCAGTGAGAGAGTTGGACAAAATTTAGATGGACCTGAAAAGCACACAAAGAGCTGATCCGTTTTCCTGAAAGGATTTACAGTAAGTGCTCCATGCTCAAGGCTTTGACTGGGGGGAGGGCAAACAGAGGAGTTATTTGTACTTTAAACAAGATACTTTAGCATTTGGGAACAGCTTTAGAATCTTAAGACATGAGGCGTCTACTAAGAATCACTGTAAGTTGGCTATACATTTAACAGACGCAAACACTAGAAGGTGGGCCATTTTAAACGTTTAGGCTTTGAGAAAGACCGACTGCAGAGGCTTGAAGAAGAACCCCTTTGGGGCTCTTAAAACCAGAGAGAGGTCCCAGGCTGGGACAGCTTTGGTGTGTGGGGGGGTTAAGTCTCCATGCTGCCATGTAGACTTTGAGTGTGGAATAGGCTCTGCCCTTATCCAATAGTTCCTGCAGAATGTTAGCACTAGGGACACATCGTTGCCAGGCCTGTGTTGTAGAGATGTGAGAGTCGAGAAACGGGACCTTTTTGGTGTCTTTGATCTCTGTGAGATTAAGCCTAAGATGCCGCTTGAGCATAACTAGTGCCCCCATCATTTTCCAGATAAAAAGCTTAGCTGAACCTCTCTGCTTGGTGCCATCAATGGATGTGAGGGCAGCCGAGAAAGAAGCACAAGCTTAGGTTGAAAAGTTGCCTGCCATTGTCATAATGCACAGCAGACAAGAAGGGGCGGGTGCGTGTTTGCCTCTGACAGACAACAACCTTTGAGAAATCCAGTGGGATGGGCACAGGCTAACCCGGAACCCTCCAATCAAGCCCAAGTTCCTCGAAAGCTTTATTGGGGACGTGTGTCAGGTCTGTGTCAATTGACCGGCACGTTGCTTATGAGGAAAGCAGGATTATAGAGGCAGCTATAGACATTGAGTCAGCAGAAAGTGCATTGCTGAAATGCTATTGGTTTATGCTTTTGTAATGTGTATTTATATAGCGCATTTATTGTGTATGACCATACACCCAAAGCGCTTCACAATAATGAGGGGGGGGGGGGTCTCTCCACACCACCACCAGTGTGCAGCATCCACTTGGATGGTGCGACAGCAGCCACAGGACAACGGCACCAGTGCGCTCACCACACACCAGCTGTTGGTAGAGTGGAGAGACAGTGACAGAGCCAATTCGGTTGAAGGGGCTGATTGGGAGGCCATGATCGTAAGGGCTCATAGAGGGACTTTGGCCAGGACACCGGGGTTACACCCCTGCTCTTTCACGAGAAGCGCCATGGGATTTTTAATGACCACAGAGAGTCAGGACCTCAGTTTAACGTCTCATCTGAAAGACGGCGCCCACTGACAGTATAGTGTCCCCTTCACTTTTACTGGGGCATTAGGACTCACGCAAACTACAGGTTGAGCGCCCTCTGCTGGCCTCACTAACACCACTTCCAACAGCAACCTAGTGTTCCCTAGTGGTCTTCCATTTAGGTACTGACCAGGCTCAGCCCTGCTTAGCTTCATTGAGTAACCGGTCTTGGGCTGCAGGGTGATATGGCTGTGGCTTTTTGCACAAATGTGTCAAGTAAGGCTTCAGTAGCCAAGTCAAACTGTAGTTTTTACAATGCGTTTATACATAAACGTAAAGGGAGTGAACAAAATCTAAAGCAGGGACCCCAAACTCAAATTAGCGGGGGCCCATATCAGTGATTGACAATTCATAGGAGGGCCGTTTTAGCATTCAAGCACAAGAAAAATATTTAAACCTGATGTAATTGATGCACTCAGACATTCTTCCCCAGAGTAACAAAGCTCTTCTTTCTGTTTCTTGTTGTACATTTTGAAGGGGTAGTTTAAATTGTTCTGAAAATATTTCATTTTAATAATAGGCATAATAATAATAATAATTATGTCCCAATTAACGAAAAACCTGTCATGTTAATAACAATATTTGAGGTAAGATGCACATTCATACACATTATGAATAGTAAATTAGGATATAGTCATTCAGATAGTGTCTCTTCTTAAAATTTATTAAAATAGATACTCACCTCTTTCTGGTGGTACTTGATGGCTAGTTTAAGTTTGGCCAGGTCTCTGCACTCACCGAGGTCCAGTTCCTCACTGTGGTCATCCCGATGGTTAAGGATCGTCTCCAGCTCACGGGAACTACGCGCCTGATCAAGAAGGTCTTTAGCAAAAAGCTTACACTGCTGTGAAAGCTCGTCATACTCCTGTCGGAATTCATTCTCCACCTTACTGAGCTCTTTTAGCTCCCAGCCCAGCCTAAACGCTGTAAGGATGGGATCTTCACTTGACAGAGCTATGAGAGAGGGGCTGGCAAGAGCTTTGTAGATGTTTAGGCGTGAACGGGAGTGCCTCAGGCTGTCCACCTCAGAGCTGGATACACATTCCACACAGTCACAGCGGATTTGATGTGGCCGAGGGATAGTAACTTTTCGTTGAACTAAGAGCTTGATTATCTCATAGTTATTAGTGTGGGCAGCCAACATGATAGGTGTGATATCGGGCGTGAACTCAGAAAACTGTGTGTCCATCATGAGAGAGGGAACCTTAAAGAGTTAAAACGGAAAAAGCGTTAAATAATTATAGTGATCTATTATCTATAAAAGGTAATGATCACCCAGTAATGACAATGTGCTTATTATTTACTCACCCTCAAGTTGTTCCAAACATTTCTGAGTTTCTTTCTTTTGTAGAAAACTAAATAAGATATTTTGAAAAATGCAAACAGCTTTGTCTGGCTCTCAAATCTGATTGGCTGAAAGCTGTTTGATACTCTGCAATATCCGGATTTGCACAGCCTCTTCATTCTTGTGTATTACTCCGCCCACATAGAGTGATAGCAGATCAATAAACTTACTTCAGTTTGACAAATATTGCAGCTGTTGGACAACATAATGTGCTTTTTAGGCGAGAATCTAGCTGTTTAGATTGGAACTCGGCAGCTTATTTTTAAGGATTGTGCTTATTTTAAATATATATAATTTCACGCCAGCATTCATCCAAAGACAGTTGATATTGTCCACGCACACAATGGCAACAGAGACTGCATAATAACCCCTAGAGGTGAAAAACTCAGCATGATTTCATATTACACTCTCAGGTACAGAAGCTGTCACCTGAAGCTTTAAAAGGTACATATTTGTACCCAAAAGGTCCATAATGGTACCTAAAAATTACTTTTTAGGTTTATTTGGCTACTAATATGCACCTTTAAGGTACATTGAGGGGTTGGTCCTCTGATTGCACTTTATATTCAGAAAGCTATGTTCATCATGCTTACTTTGTGCATGACAGTTTTGTGTTGTGAAAGACTTGAATTTAAAGTGAATAAATTAAAGGCAACAATAAGAAAAGAAAAAAAATCTGCATCTTGTCATGGCATTGGAGTTTACATATAGTCCTGTTGTGTCTAATATGAATATACCCAAGTTATTCACAGAAATTACCAGATAATCACTTTACCTCTACTATACTTTTAACAGACATAAATCATTTGTGATTCTGTCTGTCATCTTTTCTTGTTTTTTCTTGAGCCTTCACTTTGCCAATTATTTATTTTGTTAGTAGACTGTATAGGTCACAGTCATTCTGCTACATCATATCGCTTTCTTCTAGATGTAAAATGCTCTGCAGTTTACATTTTGTCATTTTTGAATGTAATGTTCTTATTCTGTAGTTATTTTGGTGAAAATAACTAAAAAGTAATATAAGAGTCATGTAACATATTACAATTCTGATACAGTAATATTGTAAGGTAAGGGATTACTTTTAAATAACAGTAACAAGTAATCTGTAATGTATTACAGTTTGGAAGTAACTTGCACATATAAATATCACATACACTGTCCTTTCAGATAAAGCTACAGCTTCACTCACTTGTTTCTCGCCACAGGGCTTCCTGTAGGATAGCAGTAACTCAACAGCTCCCACCACTTCCTTGCGGATAGCATAGAGGAGCGCATCACCAGTATGCACGCCATGACTCAATAGCAGCTCCATCACCTCCAGGTTCTCATTCTCGATAGCAATGAGGAGCGCACTGCGGCCTAACGGGTCTAGGCAGTTCACATTAATGTTGTAATATATATCTGCCTCCTCAAGGGCCTGTTTAACTCCGGCATAATCACCCTTCTCCACTGCCGTCAGATATGCTCGTTCCTTGGCAGACAGCTCAACTTCTGCCCTCACGATCTGCAGAGGGATACGGTCCAGGTATGGAGAGTTACTGGCCTTGTTGTAGTACAGCTGCGCCATGAGGTTCATGTGGACTTTGAATGAGACGGCACAAGTCCAGAGAATGCTGCAAGAGAACAAATCAGATTGCTTTTTTCAAGTTTACTCTATGTTTCTTTTAGGATGTTGAATTAAAACAAATACAAAAGTAGTACAAAACGTTCTATTAGTGTGAATGTTTACTTTATTGTCTGCACAGCGATTGTGAGCAGAAATTTATATTTCACATGAGCATACAAAATACAATACACTCTCAGATAAAAAGGGTACAATGTCGAACCAAAGAAGGTGCAAACCCTTGTCACTGGGGCAGTACCTTTTTATGGAACAGAATTGTACCTTAAATGGTCATGACACCCCCCACTTTTGATTTAGGTTTACCTCAGAATTTTTTCAAAAGAAGCATAATAATGGGCGTGGAGTTTCACGAGCAAAGGGCAGAAGTGGGCGTGGCCAGCAGGAGAGAAGGCAGGGAGCAAACAACTGGTGTCAGTTAGCTCAAAAAATGAGACACAAACCGTGAGGAGACCCATGATTCAGTGCAGCAGGTCTCTTGCCGTCTATATTAACCATTAGCCCTGTTGATAATCTAGAGGATTTAGGCAAACACAGCAGCTCTGTGATGTGTCTAAATGTGAACGAACTCCTGATTAAAGACAACGTCCACCATTCTCCAATTCTCGTATTGCTCTACCGACAAAAATACTTGCTGCATACAAACAGCTTTGCTGTATTGGCCCTGAGAGCTTCCCAAGGAAAAACATGCAACAAACACTGTCAATCATGGAAACAAACACATACGACCATACATGCACAACTAAATACTGTGTGCTGTGGGTCTGTGTCTCACAGCTTGGCACTGGCAGTTCTGTCTTGCCTTCGGAAAGCACGTGCAGTCATGAATAATTAAGAAGCAGGCTCTTCTCATAGGATAAGAAAACTCCGCTATAAATAATAATGAGAAACTGACGCGTCATCTTTGCACTTTGATCCTGCCCCAAAAATCATTTTAAACCCGGAAGCTGAAATTAGCTGGCAAAAGCTCAAAATTATCCAGTTTTTCCTATAATTAAAGCTAACAGGTGCTAACATTGTCTTAAGTGATGCTCAACACACACAAATCTGTTAAAATCTCAACAACAACAAAAGGGTTTCGTGAACCTTTAAGACCAAGAAAGAAATTTGTACCATTGCAGTTTAAATCTTTAAGGACATGATTTGTACCATGGGAAACAGAATGTGCCTTTGGTTTTTAAAACCTGCAAATACAATATTGTACCTTTATCAAAGGTACAAAGCTAATCCACAAAAGGTATGACAACCAGGTGACCAGACACTTTGTAACAGTGTGACAGTGTCAAATGTGTTCCTTCAAGAACTATTTAAAGGCATTTTGCTATATCCAAAATGCATCATTTTTTAGCAAATATAAAACATCAAGGACATTTTAAACAATGTTTTTTTTTTTAAGTTTCTTGTTGTGTAAATGCACCTTTTCCATTTACACAAAAATAATAAAAATTACTAAAAACATAAATCAAAAGATCTATTTTTTGTTAAACATTTCACAAGACATTTCACAAAAATGTTACAGAAATACATTTTCCCATGTACAATAAAAAACATTTTCACACATTACCTTTGTAATCACTTTAAAGTTAATTTAATTTATATAATATTAAAATAGAAGTAGAATTGTGCAAAAGTATTGTAACGAGATATGCACATGTTTGATTAGTTTTACAATGCCATAAATGTCTGTGTGAACACTTTGCATACGACTTTTGTGAGCTCACAAGCGTAGTGGAAAGCAAACGCCAAAAGGTGCGGATATCAATCATGAAAATGTTTTTATCAGAAGTTGCTTACTAAGCGTTTATTAAATATGCCTTAAATGTTTAGTTTACAATACCTATAGATTTGTTTTGTATTATAGAACTTAATAGTTCATGTTTATCAGTTTCTTTAAACATATGCTTTAAAATGATGAATATGGAAATTATTCATAAAATCACTTTGCCTTTCCAGTAATGTTTATTTTTAAAGATAGTGTAATAAAGAAAAAGTTGTCCAACATTTATGTACCTTTTTTTATGAGAACAATTGTGTACCTTCATTTCAATTGTACCAAAAAAGGTATAGAACAGTATCATAAGAGCTCAACTTTACAAAGGTACAAAACTGTTCCTTAAAGGTTTGAGCTGTAAAAGCACAGTGTAAAAAGGTATTTTAACAGGAATATACTATAAATGTAAACTATAGGAGTGGACTATAAAAACACAGTATGTGGCTGACAGCCCAGCAGCCAGTATTATTCTGTAAATTTACAACGAAAACTTTTACAGTGTATATTACTACCCATATATGCCATGTCAAGAACTATGGTTTGAGCCCTATGATTATCACCACGTTTGTGACCCCTTACTTTTCCGAATATTCACCAAAAGTTGTCCGCATATGTTTTAAGATAACTGGGCCACATTTGCCATATGTTCTCTGGACTGATTTAGGCTCACAGCCACATTAGCCAAAGCTTATACTATTCCGAATATTTGCTAAAAGTGGCCCAAATATGTTTTAGGATAACTGGGCCACATTTGCACGTACACATGAGCCACTTTAGGTTTAGACCCAGATTACCCTAAAATGACTATGCCGCATTTTAGCCAACTGTGGCCCACATTTGTCCTCCATCATTTGGGCCAAATTTATCATTTTTCACATGGGCCACATTAGGCTCACATGCAGATTACATTTTGCCATGAATGTAATCTCGTAATATTTGCCTTAAATGGCCCATATATGAATTCGAATCTTTGGCCCCCTTTTGCCATTGTACAGGTGTGCCACTTTATCTTTGCCTTAAATGACCCATACATGAATTGTAATCTTTGGCCTTACTTTGCCAGTGTACAGGTAGGCCCACATTCGTATGCTATCTGGGACAGCTTTACTTTGACATTTCTTCGAGCGAGAATGACATCGACTAAAACTTTCTGTCGTACACAATGCCCATAAAAGGGTACTCTTGGTAGTGGAAATGCAAGCCTGATAAAGGTGACTCGTACCATACTGTACTGTACCAGTCAGTGGAAATGGGCCAAAACGTATACTGTCCCTCAAGTGATTCCAAACCTTAACGGGTTTTATTCTTTTGTTTAACACAAAATAAGATATTTTGAAGTAAGCTGAAAACCTGTAACAAAACAAAACAAAAAGTATGAAAGTAACATTTTTCAAAATATATATACAATTAACCCTGAATTGTGTGACTATGACCCTATGTCATGAACTTCTGCAGTGTTTGAAGTATATTGAATGAGATTCATTCTTTTATGTTGGTCTAATTTCAGTTATTCAAAAAGGTAATGATTCGCACAGTAACATATGGGCCACAGTTGAAGAAAGGAAGTCACCTCACTTCAGCCCATATTTTATTCTGGCTTAAAAGTTTGTCGTTCATCTCCAGATAGTCTGGAGCGAAGGTCGCTGTGCATGACACCTCGATACCCCGAAATGCTTTTTGCACTCTGGGGACTCATTGCCACTGTTTAACCCATATTGCAGATGGGAAAACGGAGTAAATTCCCTCCTTTCAGCTTTTACAAATCCAATCACATTCCAAAGCCCCCTCCAGATTCAAAGGAAAGAACTATTAGGACTTAAAACTCACTCCAAATGATATGTAATGTGTGTTGACAATCTATATACTCTGCCCTATGGCGAAAGTAGTTAAAACAGTATGTGCATGCTTTTATAAAGTCCTTTTTGAGCCTTATACAGTATAGAAATATCTAGATGCTTGCTAATGTGTGTTTAGAATTTCGTGTTTAGTATCATTATGTTTCTCCTGCTATTTTACAACACATGATGCTGAGTGCATGATAATAACTTGTACAGTTTGCATTATTTAATGCTCATAGTTAAGGTCGATCTGTTTGTTGAGGAAGGTCTCTCATTATGCATAGGAGCGGTCCAGAGACAAAGAAAATCTCCCGCTCAAACTTTGCCATGAAACCATAGGTCAGTCAGTAGAAGATGGGTGTGACTTGACCAACAGTTAAAACCAATCTACACCCAAACCTCTGGGCAGAAAGGTCCAAAAGGGCCAGCTTCCAGACTTCACTGCTGAGACTGCAGCTTTGCACAAGACTTTCGGCCAGTGGAGAAATTAAAATGGTCGAGCCAAACTGAAGCTGCGTCCCAAATCGCATACTTATGCACTATTCTACGCCATTTTGTAGTATAAATAGTGCAAGTAGTGCGTTCACATTGAAAACTCTAAAAATAATAAGTGCACTTTAATTACCCGGATGATGCACTCATTCAGCCGCTAAAATGAAGTGTGTAATGATGGACACTTCACGCACTCAACGACCACAGGGTTGCTTACGTAGAGGAAGGGGCGGAGCTATCGGATGCACATGTTGAATAACTTTATTTAATTTGGAGGGTGAAAGCAAAATTCTTTTACGAGAGTGATTATAGCGCCTCCCGATAGTGATTGCAGCAACACTCACGGCAGGTATTATTTGATAATTCGGCCGTTTACTTCAATGATTTGGCAACCGTCAAACGTCATCAGGGAAACGGTTTGAATTTCCGCTTAGTAAAAAAAACATTAGAGTGCCATTTGGGACGACACTACATACATATACTACCCTGTTGAGTGTGTAAGTGCATAAGTACATAGTGCATGAGTGCATAGTGTGCCATTTGGGACGCAGCTTGAGTCTGGTTGTCAGAGACTGGGATAGAACCCGGTTCTCCTGCATGAGATGTTGGCCTTGAACCCACTGAGCCACACAGGCGTTGAAGAACCAAAGTCACAAAAAGGAACTTTCTACTTAAGAGGAATGTATTAATGGCAAAAAAACACTTCAATAGAAGATAAAGATAGAGCAGACAAAAAACAGAGACTTCTCCAATTTCTAAAAAAAAAAGCAAAAAACTCAAGAGGCAAAAAACTCAGGATCAGTAACTGCTCAAAAATACTACAAAAACATAAGTCACAAAAAGCTTGAAAAAAAGGTAATTTTTCAAATAGAGGAACTCACAGAGGATGAC